TCTTCTTCTTCTTCTTCTTCTTCTTCTTCTTCTTCTTCTTCTTCTTCTTCTTCTTCTTCTTCTTCTTCTTCTTCTTCTTCTTCTTCTTCTTCTCAGAGGATAGAATATTTATTTCCAGTGTAAATTTGGGTGGATAAAGAATTCTTAGCAAAAACTCCTCCTATATGGGGCCAGGTACTGGTGGCTCACGCCTGTAATCCTAGCTACTTAGGAGGCTGAGGTCTGAGGATCACAGTTCAAAGCCATCCCAGGCAGAAAAGTCTCTATGAAACACTTATCTCCAATTAACCAATCAAAACCCAGAAGTAGAGCACAAAACCCACCTTTAAGAATCTCAATATATGGAGTATTTCTCAAGAACTTTTAAAAAATACCATCCTGTTCATAATTGCTTGTCAATATGATATAATATCCACTTCTTTTGTTAAGGATAACCAAAGTAAGGAACAACAACTATGACATTAAAAAAGAACAACCTTAATACATTGTATGAAAGCAATCTATATCTTCTCATTTGAGAGATTTTTTAAGTGATCAAAATAAACTTGCCACCCATACAAAAACAGATCCTCCTTTGGTGACAATGTTAACTTTATCCACTTCAAGAATTATTCATAACCTACAGCTATAATTCCCTGTTGGTCCCTCCTTCACTTCCAGCACACACACTTGGGCTGCTTTCTCCCTACATTCAGGAAACGCAGTCATTTCAACATTAGCCAAAGTGAAATATAATTACAAATGTATATCTCCTGCCAAAGCTCCCAAATGCATGCCAAATACAAATAGCCATTGTCTATGGTAGATCCACTGTTTGGGTTTTCTACACTGTATTCTCTCTGCATTACTTCCAGTGATTTCAGGTAACAATATTCTACTTCAGAATAGCAACACTTTAATCTTTAAAATGGAAAGACATCCAAAAATTTGCTCGATTTCCATGCGCATTCAAAATCCCCAAACTAAGAATCCATTTTAACATGATGTGTATCAAGCCATGGTAAGCTGTTTGATTTGAATTGACTTTATCCCCATCCCCTCCCACTTTCGACCTCTTAGGTGACCCTTTTCAAACAGTGTCATTTTTGCAAAGGGTTACTTCCCCATACAGAAGAAAATCAGAAGGGGTAAATGACTTCCCTTATCATTTATCAAATTCTTGATGTATTACACCAGAAACTAGATCAGAGATGTGCTAGACTTCATAGTTAACTTGTCTCAAAAGAGTCAGCCAGTTCTGTTATTGTTTTGATTTTGTCTTTTTGTATAAAGACCATGTCTGTCATCTGAACATTTGTTTCACTCTTTGTTCTCCTGTGTGTACCCTTGACATTCAATGCTTTCTCCTCATGGCACCCCAGCCCAGCCACTACAATGACAATACGACCAAATACAGATGCTTCCTGTCGTTCTGATAGTAAGAGAAAACTTCCCAAAGCAGTAAATGAGATCTCTAAAATCCCAGGCAGCCTGAATGCTCAGGCATCTCCCCCCAGCCTGGCGGTCCAAGGTCCAAGGCAGAAAGTGGGAGGCTGAGAGGACCAGTTCTGCAGCTTTCAGCCCCGCACTTTTTGCCTCCTCTGCAGTGCAGTTTTAAAGGGCAGTCATCCATCCCCAGAAAGGAGAGCTTAGAAAAACCGCTTTCTCTTTCATTTTTATCGCATGCATATGCTTAGACTTTAGTCCTGTCTCCTCTAAATGAAAACCTGTACCACAGCATAATCTGGACCTGAGTGATGAGTGGTCCCCGTGTTAGGGAGGGGATTGTTGTAGAAAATGGTCCTGTGGGAAAGTCAAGTCCCCGCTGGACTGACCATAATGTACATCCCGCGCCCCCTCTTCAGACCAGACTCTCCGCTTCATGCTTGTCCAAACGAACAAAGTTCCAGATAGCACTTCACTGCGATCCCGTAATTCAGGACTGTTTGGCTAAATGAGATGGGGCTGGGTTGGGAGAAGGGAGGGTGAGGGGAAGGGGAGCCCCGAGTGGATGTGAAGGATCGTTTTGCAAGGCTTTTCCAACAGACAACAAATGTCCAAAGAAATCTAAGAAAGAGGCTGTGAAAAGCCTTGCCACGCACGGAGTTATGCCCGGGATGCTAGGAAGAGGTCGTCAGACAGAAGGAAGAGTGCGTCCCACGGGGGGTAAGGAGGCAGAAGGAACTAACCTGCAGAGGGGATGGCCGTGGGCAGCAGAAGGAGGTGTAGGAGGACGGGCTGCAGCAAGAGGACTGGCAGAAGTTTGGTCACCCACATGCTGCTGGCCGACTTGCTGGCGGATCCCACCGGAGATGGAGATGCCCGGGTGAAAAAGGAATCCTGTTCGGAGTCAGTGCCTAAAAGATCCAGTCAGCTCTGGGCTGCTTTTATTGCGATGAGCTAAGTTTGTTGTGTGATTAACTGGAAAGATCTAGGTCTGAACTCCCTCTTACGGTAAGAAACTGTTTAACAACAGCCCTTTACTCTCTTCCAACCCCCTCCTTTCCTTACTACCCCCCCTCCAACACCCAACAGATCCCACCCCCCCCAACTCCCCCACTCCTTAAGAAACTTACAAAGAAAAGGTCACCTGGCCGGAGGCCAGCTTTAATTTAGAATCTCAAGCTCCAGATCCTAGTGGCTCCTATCCCAGTAAAGAAGCCAGGAGCAAGGCTTGGCCCAATGGCTACATCAAGGCACAGGCAGGGGACCAATTCGCTCAGTAGAAACAAGAAAATACATGTGTTTACATATCTATTTGGGAAAAGAGGAAGGGGAAGCGACCTAAGAAGAAAGCGAAGAGCTGCCTTTCTGCCAAAAGTGCCCTAGCTCCCAATCGTCTAGTTCCACTGCTCCAGCCGTGCAAGGATTCCAAACACAGACACAGGTTCCCAGGGAGTTTAAAGACTGAGAGAGGGGAGGGAGGAAGAAAGGAGGAAGGACCAGGGGCCAGGGCGGGGTGGAGGCGGGGGAGTGTTGAGCCCAGGCTAAACCAGCTCAGGTAGAAAGAGCTTAAATAAGAAAAGGGCGTGGTGTTATGGCTTCAGAAGAAATAAACAAGCAAGACCAAAGCAGCCAGGTGATCAGGTGGAAAAAAATCACCCTGCCTCTTGGTCTGAAAGCAGGCTGCAGACCAACACAGTGCTAAATTCCCAGGTGGCCACAGATGGACCTGGAGTACCTTCTTCTTAAAATGTATCTGATTTATCTGGTCATACTTGCTCTCTAAAAATGTTTATGAGGTCAGGATTGTCATTTGCTTGTCCATGACAGGTAAATATACACATCATCATCATGACCTTGGTACAGTCACGTAACTGCATGCTTATTTACACTGGTAGATATAGGTTTCCAAACTTTGAAGGGAAATCCCTCAAACTATGTTTATTCCCAAATGACTTTTCTTGGAGCCATATGTTTCTGCAGGCACCCACCAGCTTCCTACTGTCTGAGTTGAGTCTGGGGAGGAAGAGATTGTGTGGGGGTGGAAGGGATTCATAAGTATCACGTTTTGGTGAGATCATTGACTAGACTTCTCCTTTTATTTAGAGGAATCTCCTTTGCAACCAGGAGGATGCTCTGAGTACTTTAGGGAACAGCTTGCTTTCTTGCAAGTGGATTTTGAGGAATAGCTGCTGTTTATCTCTGAAAGGGAGAAAAGGACACCTCTGTGAAGAGAAGAAAGGAAAGTGACCAGAATGTAAGAATGGTTTTGGAGCAAATGTGCTGCTGGACAGATATGGGGAAAACTAAAGTCTTCCCCCCACAAAATGTGCTGCTGGACAGATATGGGGAAAACTAAAGTCTTCCCCCCACACCCACACCCCAGCTTCTCTCCTTCATTTACAGCTCTCATTGCCTTTCCTCCAGTGCCCTGCCCCCACCTCTAGAAAGGGGAAGAAAGATAAAGAAAGGGAAACAGAGCAGAAAGGGAGTTAAGGAAGAAGCAAAGGAGAAGAGGAGGGAAGGAGTGAAGGAGGGAAAGGAAGAGAGAAAGGAAGCAAGCTGAGCGAGTAGTGCTGGCTCAAGCCTGTAATCCCAGCTACCTGGGAGACAAGGTAGGAGGAGTATCACTGTCTGAGGCTGGCTCTGGGGGAAACTGCAGGACATTTTTCTGAAAAGTAAAGTAAAGGAACTTTTTTTTTTTCCTGAACAGTAAGCTAAAGGGACTGGTGTGTGACTTCTGTGTTTGGTGCTTGCTCTAATCCACTATCCCCACCCAGCAGAAGAAAAAAAAAAGAGGAGGAGGAGGAGGAGAAGGAGGGAGAGGAGGAGGAGGTGGAGGAAGAAGAAGAAGGAGGAGGAGGAGGAGGAGGAGGAGGAGGGAGGAAGAAAGGGGGAGGTGATGGAGGAGATCTGCTAGATAAATACCAGAGACTGTAGACTATCCAAGCAATGAAAGGATTAATAGAACTCTTTTGAAGAATGCATTTATACTACCTTTTCCTATTGCCAGTACTTCTCTTTTTATCATGTTCTCCTTATAAAAACAGAAGCTTTAAAATAATTTGTCAGCTTATTTCTGGTGTTCCAAGTGTTCATTTGACATTTATTTTTACAATCCATTTACCTTTCTGGAAAATCTTAATCTCAGTCTACTACTGCTGGCTATGAATGGGAATTCTCCTACGGCATCTCTTGTGCTTTTTTGATCATTAAAGGTGCTTTTAAAGAAATTATATTTTGTTATAATTAAATCTTATAGGTAAAGAATAAAGGAAATCAGATATTTTTTCTCCTTATTCTCACAGATGAAAAAGAACTAGGATTATAAGCAAATAATAATGGATCTAAGTTTAGAGTGGAATAGAAGTACTGGGTCACTCATTTCCACAATTTCTATTTACATGCTAAATATGGCAAACACAACTTAAACCTACTTAAATGTATATACTCATATTTTCTTTTTTGGCAATAATTGCTTTCAATTGTCATTGAAGCAAGAGCTAGTCTACCATGACCTTTTACAGTATGCTAAGGATTTTAAGTACCCTAAACCTAAAAGTTTTGGTAAGTCCCATTTTATAATTGAGAAAGCTTAAGTAAATTATTTTAATCTTAAATAAATTATCCAAGATACCCAAGGAAGATTCAGACATGAACATCAAATATACTTCCCATACCCCACAAGAGATGATAAATGTCTTTAAACACCATAAAAAGAAAGTATCATAAATTCAAGATTCTATTGATAATGAAACACAAAGAATTTCAGTAAGTATTTATAAAAACAGAGCGTCATGGTGTATGCCTTTATACTCAGCTTTTTGGCAGGCTAAATTGAGAATATTCAGAATTAGAGAATAAACTGGGCAATATAGCAAGACTCTCTTAAAACTAATGATTAATAAATGAATGGAAAACAATTTAAAAATCTCTCAAATTTGTAATGGAATGTTTCAATAAAATAAATAACTTATTATGTTATCATTTCACTTTATCTTGCTAGCATATTCTCCTTTTTCCTTGTAAATCACAAGTGGTTTCTGCAACTCTTGCTAATTTTCTTAAACAGTTCTACAAATGCCCAAAATGAATATGAAAAGAAATAGATAAGATGAAAATTTTGCAAAGAGATACTTCAAATGCTATAGTTTATGAAATTACTCAAGCACAAATGACATTATAGGGTCATATAATGCCATTTCAAATCTGTAATAAAATTGAAATCTCCTGAATAACTTGTGATCTGAATGATTGAATGGAAAAGTGTGTATGAATGTCCTTTATTTAAGGCTGTACTCAGTAAACACACACACACACACACACACACACACACACACACACACACAAATTCCTCAGTATTCTAAACAAGTAATGTTTGTAGAAAGGTAGACCACTAATTAGCTGATCCAATCATGTGATCTGCAGACCATCAACGGATACTAGTCATATCATGTGCCTGGCAAGAATCAGCTACCATGGAGTTGCTTGTGTAATACTGAATTAGCCTCAATTTATTGCTATTCCTCATGTTGGTTCCCATGTGAGTCTCTTACATAATTTATTATTAATGAATAAAGATAATTAGTGTAATGCCTCAGTTTCCCCTCCATAAAAATGAACACTATGTTAGGAAAATACTTCCTAAGAATTGTCTCACTATACTTCTCTCTTTTCTGGGAAAGGGAGGCACGCACATCAAAGATTTATACATTATTATTGTCACTGATTTAACATAAGGAAATCAATACTTAATGTTGGCTAATAACTCAGTATAGTTGATCTGTTAGTAAAGTGTCATTCTAAGCCAGTTACCACCTGTCCAGGTATCAAATTACTTTATCAAACAAAAGCCCACATTAAAAGAGATCAAGGTTGGGAAATTTCTAATATTCATTCCAGGTTTCTTTTTTATTTTATTTTGTTAAGACGTTGTACGGAGGGGTTTCAGTTACATGAGCAAGGCAATGAGTACATTACTTGTCAATCATTGTTATGCCCTCCCTTCCTTGTTGTTTTCCCACTATCCCTTCCCTCCCCTACTTCCCACACTCCTACCCCCCCCCTGCCACTTCGCTGCCCAAAGTTGCAAAGTTCTCTTCCAATATAGTGCCCTGTGGGTGTCCTTGTTACAATGGGTCATCCGTGTCCTTGTTTCGGCATCCTTTCAGTTTTAAATTCTGATTATTTTCTTTCTCTGAAATCTTTACTGGTTGTTATAATACTTCTGGACAGTTTGTACCTTCTATGCGAAAGAAAGAATATCTATATAAGCTGCTAATGCTTTTATCTTTCCTGCCAACAACCGTATGTCATTCTTTCCACCATTTCTTGCTTCTGCTCTGTCAGTGGTTGTTATTCACCTGTCTACCTCACTACTGAACCATTTATTAGACTCCTTTCAATGTGGGAAATATTGCAAAAGTAATTACAACTTACTTTAGAAATAAAAGCAGAAACAGAAAAAATAATAGAATAATAATAGAATATAAACAAGCCTCATGACACATTTAGTTCCAAAGTTATTAAAAAGTACATACAAAGTCTATGCAAAGATCTAGTTTTTGCTGTCCAGTATGGTATCCACAAATCATTGTAGCCATTAAATTCAAAGCAAAATAATTAAAATGAAGCAAAATTCAAACCAAACTTTATCGAGTTCAGGATATACTCTTGAGACTAGAAGCTCCCATAGTGAAAAATGCAAATGTAGACAATTTCAATCATTGCAGAAATGTCCATTAAATAATATTAATCTAGTCTTGACAGTTGGTGCAAATGTCTTTTTTTTTTGGTCATGGAGCTTGAACTCTGGGCCTGGGTATTGTCCCTCAGCTCTTCAGCTCAAGACAAGTGCTCTACCACTTGAGCAACAGCACCACTCCTGGTTTTCTAGTGGTTTATTGGAGATAAGTCTCACAGCCTTTCCTACCTGGGCTGGCTTTGAACCATGGTCCTCAGATCTCAGCCTCCTGAGTAGCTAGGATTACAGGCGTGAGCCACCAACACCTAGCTAAATGTATGATTTGGGGCTCAAGCAGAGAGGTTTCACAGGACACTGACAATGAGTGATAGTTACTTATGTTGATACCATTTTCATTGGAAACCTTCCACATTCTTTCTGTCAATTTTTACAACATGTGAACAAGAAAATTGTCTACTTGAACTCCAAGTAATAATGTTAGAAAATGTATCAGGTTTCCTATTCAGAAGCAAACCTAAAGAAAATGGTCATACAAAGAAATATGTTTTTCAGAAAACATCTAGGAAGGAATGTGATG